TGGCTGGGCAAGTGGCTACCTGTTTTGACGATGCATTCGTGTATCTGGCAGGGATGGATACCCAGCCGTTCCCGCAGTCCTACCTCACCCTCCTTCGACACACAGTGGTCTGCAACCTCGCACCATATCTGCACGCAGGTTGTTTCCTCAACCCTTACACGACAAAGTGGGCCCCATTTCTCAAATGTTTCACAAGGGCGAAACACCCCTGTGTGGCTTCTATGGGGCCATGACTACAACAAGACCAAGACCGTTGACCCCTACATGCAGAAGTACTACCTCCCCCCAAACCACACCATAGACCTAGCTAGGTCCGAAGCCTCCACCCTCGCTGAAGAGATGAAATGCTGGGCTGTGGCATTTGCTTCTATTCCTGCACCAACGAGAGATGTGCCACTTCCACACTTCGCCACTGCATTCAGCGGCGATGAGGACGGACTCCAGGAGCCCCAGTACAGCACCGCACCAGTGTCGGTCAATCCCATCGACTGCACTCTCATCGTAGATAGACGCTCATGTCAGCTTCGGGGTCAAAACTGGAGTGCGTTCTTCCGACACATGGAGGATGCTCTGGAGACAAGGAGGCGAGAGGAGACCCCCGAAGAACGAGGTAGACGAGAGGGCATCAAGAAGCAGGCTCTCCAGAATGGTCACACCACCAAAACCCCCATCTTCCTGTGGGAGCAGGATGAAGTCGACACCACGTTCTGGCGCCGAACCCTCCTTCCAAAGGCCAAAATCGAGATCAACTGGGGCAACTACTCAAAATTTCAAAGGAAATTCTGGTCGCACATTCGAGAGTGGGACCTCTGCCCCCAGCTTCCTCATTTTCCAGAAGGAGTCAACCCAAGAGACTTTGAGATGCCCGTCGAAGAGATCGACGATGTCAAAGATGAGAGGTACAACTTTCTGTACTCGAAGCCCACTGTTCCTCCAAAGAAACCGCAGGACAAACACACAAAGAACTTCGCCTCTCGACTACTCACCTCCGTCTGAACGGCCATCGCCTACAACAATACATCTGACTCTGCCTTTTCTCTTTCTTTCCACTCTCTCACAACCCACCTCCAGATTCGGCATGGTTTTGACACAGAGTTGGAGAAGTCTTGGACTCTGGCACTCCATGACTCTAAGAACGCTACCTACATCAAAAGGGGCAGCCCATTACGGCGGCTCCAGTATGAGAGTTATCCGAACCT